ATGGTTATTTAATGTGAACTTATTTCCCAACAATAGATTCTAACTTTTTCTCGCTAGTCTTCTCCCTAATTTCATGGGGTTATCCTTATTTCTTTTCCCTTTCAAGGTCTTACTTTTTACAAATTCATAATCAAAAGAATGACACATTCATATGCCAAAATTAGACCTTTTAGAGGAGGCTTTTCCTGCGGGAAAACTGGTGCCTTCTTGGGGATGGTGGGCAGAATCAACACATCGTATTTTTAAAGTGCCGCATCATACGCCTTGCAAAGCTCTCGACCGAGGTTCTGTGCTTTTCCGTACAAGATACCGTGGTAATCCTCGTGCAAATACTTCGCGATCAGCCGAATGAGTTTGCCTCTCTTTGACAGGTCATTCGAGTGGCATTTTAGACCTCGTGAAAAGGCTTCCTGCAGAGTGGTGTCGTAATACATCCTTACGGCAGTTCCAGCCCCTTTAAAACAAATCATTTTCATGTGCAACATTCCTTAATGATGATAAATGACTTGAATTAGGGTTGCGTGACTCGAAACGATATGGTATGACGTAGAGTGACCTAAGGTGACATGACATGCAATGACAACACATCAATCACATCTTATTAACTTATGACAGTCTAACGACGTACATAATTTAGCTCCAAGTTACTAGACATGCCATTGGATGGACGCAAAGGTTGAAGTAACCTCTACTGTTTACCATCGCCGAACACAAAGGCTTGGCCGCAATTATAAGAGCATTGTATACAATTTAAAATGTTTGCGTAGAGTTTAAGGGGAAATCCTCATCTAGCTACTGTTATTCTTGATTTGGGATTGTTCAGAACAAATGTTTACCAAAACACCAACCACCCCTTTATTTGAAGGGGATTCCTTCGAACTCTCTGTGAAATCAATCATGACTTCTCACCAGCTCCTTCAAACATCATTCGATCACCTCCAATATGTCGAATGGCCCAAAGATTCGAACACCTGTCGAAACGTGAAGCCAAAGGAAAAAAATTACAATAGAAAAAAAACAAAAAGAAAACAAAAAGAGAGGCAAATCAAAAACAAATTCTGACATTCGACGAGTTAACGTGGTGCTTAGACAAACTTTCACAACACAATTATAGGTCTTCTCTAAAAGGTCTAATCTACGTTTAAATAAATCCGAAACGCACATCAAACAATTCTCATTTTCACTCTTAAATGAAGTTGTGAACCGATTAGTTAAGTACGTTTGACAGTGTTTCTAAACATTTATTTCAAGCAGGACGCAATGATGAGAAACTCTATTCTCCTCTCCTTTCCTATGGTGCGTTTTTTAGCATTCCCATAATGTTCAGTTACCGTCAGAATGCATCGGGACAGACACTTCTTCGACAGTTGCGCCACCTGCAGTACCCAACTGTTCAGCGGCCTCTCTGACCGTCTTATCAACATCCGCTTCGGAGGTCTTCAATCCAAAGCCTTCTTTCAAGATTCCTATTTTCAAGTTGTGTATTTTTCCTGTGAGCTGACAAAAAATTGCATTGCTTTATAAACAAAAAATTACTACCGAGGTATAATATTTGGATTTTCAAAAAACAAACCAGCACTGGCATTAGATTCAATCAATTTCGATCAACCCCTCCCGTTTCCACCATTAACAGTTTTAAAAGTCGGGGTGTCCCCCCCCCCCCGGCTTACAGCATGGCACAAGTCAAGATATTCTTTTGCTGTCAACCGTTGACCACGGTGTGTATCCGACCTCTCATCATAACTGAAGCATGTCCCACAACCACGAAGCTCTTAGATTCTCTGCAACCACTTTCTAGAGACTCACTTTTGTTTGATCAACTTAGTTGATAATGCAAATTGACCATCGCAAGGCAATACTAAAGTTGAAGTTTCAAGCGTTAGCTCTTCGTCAGAGCGAATGACGAAGGGCTAACGCTCAAAAATTCAGCTTTAGAATCGCTCTACGTCGGCTAATTCACATTGTCAACTCAAAGTTATCTTATGATACCCCACATCGATACAGCACTAGTTTGTTCGGAAACTTACCCTTTACCATTTGCCGTCTATAAAGTTAGGTTTAATTCTGTATAACCCCTAGTCTCTCTCCATTAAAAATCTTCCTTGTACAACTGAAAAAAAGCTAATTTAGCAAGAAAATGTGAATTAATTGACACACTGGGGAGAGACATAGAACGTTCATTTAACATATTATTTCTTATAAATGATTCATCGCCAATGAAATTCAAAAGCAGACCCACCCCCAAAGTATACTCAGGCACTTTGAGATCTCGTGGCTGTCTAGGGTCCAGTCCTCCGTCATATCCAGCTATAGCCTATTTTAAAATTGAAGAGTCATTATACATTATTAACGATTAAATCCACATTTAAAAACCCAATAGAAGTGATCTTTAAAATAATGCATGGTTAGCAACCAGACAATTAATATACCGTTTACATAAATGAATTTCGCGCTGTTTTCGAAATATTTTCAAACTAAAAACGACTAACGACTTAAAACGACTTTTGACTAAAAACGACACCCACTTATCGTGATTGATCTGATAGTCTCCTGCTGAACCATGAAATCAGGTAGAGCGAAAATAAAAACTATGCAATAATTCAAGATTCTTATGCCGTTAGACACCGATTACTTTTATTGGGAAGTCGCAGATTAGATATTTGCGGGAATTCTAACAATTTGTCGTAACTTGTTGTCCTACCTCCAACATCAGAGCTGTATCATACACAGTCCTGGCCATTGGTCCAGTATGATCCAAAGTAAACTCTATCAGCATAATGCCCGTATATGGAACTAATCCGTATGTGGGTTTCAGACCCACAATGCTGCAACACGCAGCGGGGATCCTTATGGAACCTCCTTGGTCTCCACCGGTTGCCATGTCAACTTGACCTCCAGCCACCTTAAAAACGACGAGAAGACAAGAGCGTAATCAAGAGACGTGGCTGCACAAAGCAGCCACATTTAAAACGAAGTTTTGTGTAGGAATAAAAGACGATTCTTATTGAGAGATAATGTGTGCTCGGAACGGAACAAGTCTGAGTCGAAAATAAATGGACATAAACATCGAACGTAGCTATGAAGGCTATGTGATTTTTTGAGTGAAAGCAATGTGATGGACAGTTTGGAGATCATTTGTTTGCGATAATAGGATTTTGTTGAAGAAGAGGAGAAATTATTTTTCTTGCTTCTTGGTTTTCCTATTTTCCTATGTACTTTTTTACTCACCAAAGCTGCAGAACCTCATGATGACCCTGCACACATTCTCGTCTTATTGTGTGGATTAACCACCGGACCAGTGGTAGCAGTAAAACTGCCTCCGCTACAACACAAATCTTCGCAAACACTTTTCCCCACTATGTGTCCACCGGCATCCAATATCCGAGACTCTACAGTAGCATCCACATCCGGGACAAATCCCTCCAGGGTATGAGAACCATTCATCATAGGTACTCCTGCCACACATGTGTTGTCCTTGATAGCCACAGTTTTGCCGCGAAGTTTACCACTTGATGCTCCTTTGATGTCACATCGCCACAATATTCAGTTTGGGGAATGACCCTTCGTTTCTGTTGCTTTAGTCTCACGTGGTATTCAACAGTGAAATCGAACTCAACCAAATTCGAAAACGTATCATTTTTTCCTCAACTCAATTAATTATAGTTAAATTAGTATTGTTTTCGAAATTGTTTGCCTCGTCGGAGTTTAACTTTTGATCATTTTCAACCAGAAAAGTAAAAAAAAAAGTCTGACTCTAGAGAGATAAGCAGCTTCTAAGACTAAACTCTTAATAGAAAAGAGAGAAAGAAAATACTTTATCACATTGAGGCCAGATGGAATAATTTGAATTTCTCCATAACAGTTGAAGTAGAAGTAGCTATATGAGGAAAACAGTTGCATTTGGGAAACAAAAAATGTCCAAATCTTTTCATTTCCTCTCTCGTGCCCTTCTGTGTCTTAGTTATGGCTTTAAAGTCGATTCTAACGATTTAGGTAATCGTAGTTTTTGTGTTTTCTTCCTATTTATTTCTAAAGGAAGGGGACACTTTCCTGAAAAAGGCGTGCATTAGTACCCCCTCCCTATGCGACGGCCAAACTACCTTAGTTGAAAACTGCGGTAACGAACTAACCAATCGCAGCTTTGAGTTCACCGCACAAAGGTGAGAGTCCGTTTTAATTCCTTGTCTATTTTTAGGGTACTTGTCTTCCATTTGATTTGATTGAATTTAGTTTTAGCAGACTAGCAAAGAGATGTTAAACAGACATCTTTTTTGGACACTAAAGACTATTTGCAATGTTCATAAAAATGCTGGAAATATTCAGAAACGCTACATTACTTTTAACATTGCTAGGGGAGGGGAAAGGGGTCACTTGTGACAATAATTTTAAACTAGAAGTCAAATAAATGAAAGTGTCCTAAAAACGTTTGACCAGGCTTCCAATACGCACCACAAAATTAAAACGCGCTCGTGTTTAGTCCTTTGGTATAAAACACGATTAACTACAGCAAGAAAATCAGTTTAAGGTTTTATTTGCTTAGAAATAACATCGTTACGTTTGCATGATAATTTTTAAATCTTCTTACACTGTCAAGTCCGCCATTAAGAAGCCTTGCTGGGTTTGGTGTAATGACTCTTTTTCTTGCTCCCGAAAAGGTAAAGTCTGATTATTTCAACTTTCATCATCCAGCGGTTATGATATTTAGAGATTCCATCGAAATGTGCATTATTTTGTTTGGTAAAGGAAAAGGATGAAGAAGAAAGGACTTCCATACATTTTTTTTTCGGTATCTCCTACTCAAGTTTTCCCACGATTTTTCAAGTCCGTTCGGTGATGTCACACAATTGTTTGGTGTGGTTTTGGCAAGACGACCAACTGTAAGGACTGGACATTCAACTGAAAAAAGGAGGGAATCAAATCCATATGATTGTACAAGCTCCTAGAGGCTGAATTTTGAACCAAATTTATTTTACTCAGTGGTAAGGTAAAGCTTTGGAAAAAAAATACAATTTTTGTCAATTAGATTCCGTATTTCAAGTACAAATACAAAAAACATAAGCTAAACGAGAGAGTCAAGAATAAATACAAATTTATTATAGTACTCAGACGAAGGCTTATTTTTGGTCCGGCTGTACTTAGATGAAAAAGGCTAGTGAGCTGGTGTCCGCTGGTACGAGTAAAACAGTTTTAATCCAAAGTTGTGATTTAACATGTATTAAAAATTGGCAATCTTCCGTTACGGCAATTGTGCAAGCAATGGATACAATGAGGTTATAGGGGAGGTAAAAAATTCTGTCAAAAGCTTTTCAGTGGAGCAATGTTAAATTCCCTTCCGAAAGAAATCCGGGAATGCTTTAATTTGGCTTTGCTGCATTTTACTCTACGGTCAGTTTAGAAAACTCGTACCACTAGGCAAACAGTTGTAGTGACAAGGAAAAAATATTATGATGACCTTACCCGGCGCTTTTCAAAGCTCAATGTTGGTTGCATGTAATAGGGAAGGAACTTTGACGGTTGACGATAGACGATTGAAATTTCGGGCTTTTGACGGCTGATAATTGTGAGGAAGAAATAGATAGAGACTCACTTGATATTGATTCCATAGTTTTTGATACGAACTATCTTTTTCAGAGGTGATTTTGGTCTTTCAATAATCGCAGTTAAATGAAATGAAAACTTAAAACGCACTGCAAAACCATAAGCAATATCTACGTAGCTGTCAACTCCTTTCCCAATTTGAGTTCTCTGGTTTAGTAATTGCAAACTTTGAAAATATTGTTAGAGAGACTTTCTCAAAATTTTTGTCCGTGTCTTTATAGGAATTTTCAATTTTCCATACAATACTGATTGGTGTGTATAGCTCGACCTCAAATGAGCTCCAGCCAAAGTTGTCGTAGAAATCAATACCATTTCCTCTCAAATTTACAATGATGATGTTTTTGGTTTCCTTTCAATCGATTGATCCCTACTCTGCTTTACACCACAAGTGTGTGGTTTCAGAACTTTCCGGACATGCTCTCAACTTGCAACTTGTGATTGCGGGCGTATGGTGCAGCATGGCGTGGTCACAACGTGAACAAGTTATCCATTGAGAATCTGTTTGAATTTTTTTAACCTACAAGAAGTATATTTGGATAGAAGCTGATTGCAATATTCGTTTTGACGCCGTTTAGTGATTGAAAAATATCGAAGTTGATGAAAATGACCATAAAAATTAGTTTTGATTTGGAAACGTGGAAACGGATTTACCAGTTCAAGGATTTTTTCGAGATATAAACTGTCCGCGACAAGCAGCTCTTAATTGTAGGATTTGAAGGACCGTGATATATTTTGACAGCAAATATCGCGCTGCTCTTTTTTTTTTTGACGGTTTACGGTAAAACATTGCCCTTTAACAGTTGTCAAGTTAAGGTTGTTTGAACGCCAACCGCTCACCACATTGAGGCTCTCGATGTAGTATGCTGTGAATATTTGGATTTCAGTTTGTAGGCATCATTATCAGAAATTGCCGACAAAATGGCGGACAGGAATTCTATCGGCGCTTTAAAGATGGCTGCCCATATAATGGTAAAATGTACGGGGCACTACTTGCCGACCTCTCAATGGAAAGAACATTTACTGCAGTATTCATAACAGTCATTTTAAAATAAATTTGAGCATCACACGGTCTGCCAACTCCACGTTTATAGAGGTCATAAAACAGCTCCTTAAACTCTATAATTTCCTCACAAACGGGATGAATTGCTTACCTTCTCGACCGTCCTGTAGACTTTGTTCACGTCGGTTCCCTGGAGCCGACCTCGAAAAACATTGCCAGATGTTTACACTTTCCAAGACTAAACAAAATTCCGGTTGTATAAGCTTTCCGCTGTTCTGCCAAATTTACTTGAAAAGAGCATAAATTCAAGATTACTGTCTTTATCCAAAGTGAACGGAAACCACCATTTCTGCTTGGAAATCGTCCCCATAAACAAGGCTTTCTCTTCGATTTCAATGACTTCAGCCACCATTTTGGCTGATAACCTAACCTTTTTATTGGAAGAACGCTGGATAGCTGTAACGTGGACTCCTTATTTATAATCCGGTGTTTCCTTAACGAAAAATACCTTCTTTCCCTAGTGAGCGTGAAAAGTTAACGATCGACCAAAAATTAAATGTCCTTAATCCTCCGCTTTCTTACGTAAGACAGCAAAATGTTGATCGCTTTTCAATAGCTTTAGCTGTGCAGATTCCTTACCCTTTGTTACAGCTACGGTATAACATAGTCAGTCACAAAACCGAAGCTGATCAAGGTACTTCTGCAGATTACCTTGATCTGTTGAATAGCTCGATCCCAAACAAATGGTTCCAGATTAGCAGGGAGACAGGATTTCGGATCCAGGGAAGACTCCGACGCGAGGCAAGCTCAGTTGCCTCAAAATATAAGAGAGCAACTGGTAGTAGGAGAAAGCAAGAGCTCAATAACTGTTTTTACACTAAGCATTTTAGTTACTGAGTTAGTGTCTATTGGAAAGATGGATGACTATTTACAAACAGCTAATTTAGCTTTAGAGGAGTGACATAAGAAGTGTAGAGATTTACAGCAAGAGAAAGAGAGTCTGTTAAAGGAAATTGATGAGGCTAAAGAAAAGAGAGATACAGAGATAGATAGTCTTAACAGAGAGCTATCAGAATACATCCAGCAAATGGCAGAATTAAATGAGACTAGGACACCAAATTATGGAAAAACAATTGAACAGCTATCAGAAAGGCAGAGGCTAAGAAGAATAATTATAAATTAATTATTACTGTATTACTGTATTATCATATATTGTATTATATTATTGTATTATTATTATTATTATTATATTACTGTATTATTATTAGAATAATTATAACTGAACTGAAAGGAAGAGCTGACCTAGCATTGTGGTTCCTTGAGAGTCATGGTTTAAAATTAACCTGTCTTAAAGTCAGGGAGTCTGATTCAAGGAGAGAACATACATTTGACTTTTTAAAAGAGAAAGTCACCCAAGAGGATCAAGAGAATTTAGAACAGCTTTTATTTTTGTTGGACAAATTTTGAGTCAGTGATGAACCATACTATGAACTCACCATATTATACAATGACTTGCCAAGGTCATGTTTAATCAAACAGTAGAGATCTGATCTCAACAAACTTTCCCACATTGAAAGAGACCCAGGAAAGTACCCAGGAGCACAGATATCATTTACAGATACACTCCAGGGTCACATAAGGGAATATTTCCAGTCACACCCAGACCATCCACTGGAAGAGCCTGTAAAGGTCAAAATAAGTGGTTATGGAGCCAAGATGTCCCGAATAACCAATTTTATGATTTTGT